ATGGGGGAGCGGCGGATCTCCTTGGACCCACGCGCCTTCACGGGGCGTCACCCGTGGGTGGGGTCGGCCCCGAGGGTGCCTGAACCGCCTGGGGCCAGGACACTGAAGGGGGGCCCCTTGCTCTGCCTCAGGACCTCAGGGTCCCAACATCTCTCCAGCCCCGGAAAATGGACCCCTGGTCCATGGACTCAGTGGGCGAGTGCCAAATGCCAGGTTCTGGTGGCTAGCTCTGTCCCTGTCATCTTAAAAAAAATTTTTTTAATTGATTTCAGAGAGGAAGGGAGAGGGAGAGAGAGATAGAAACATCCATGATGAGAGAGAATCATGGATCAGCCTCCTGATGAACACCCCCTACTGGGGTTTGAGCCCACAGCCTGGGCATGTGCCCTTGACTGGAATCGAACTTGGGACCCTTCAGTCCGCAGGCCGATGCTCTATCCACTGAGCCAAACCGGCCAGGGCCAGAGATGTGTGTGTGTGTTTTCACAGTCGGAGCTGAAGCCAGGTCTCTGGGGAGTGTAAAAGCCGTGGAAACGGGGCCCGGTGGCAGGCTGTTATAACAAGTGCAGAGTAAGGTAAACAGTTGCTATTCCAGAGAAGTACAGGCTCAAACCTCGGATACTGCCCGGGTGACACCTGGTGTGATTTATTGTCTGTACACCCTGCCCAGCCTCGGACAGAATTGGAAATATTCCCAAATCCTCCTATCAGTAGTTCCCAGGAGGACGGCTTAAAATAACACGCCCATAAACTCAGAAGTATTTTTTTAAGGGAACAGTTTGTAGCTCTGAGTTAAAAGATTTGCGATCGGGTGATACTGCGGTGCAAGAGTGAGTGGGTTTGGAAGATGCTGCCTGGAGGCGTGTTGTGTGGGCTGAGTCCTCACCATTCCTTTGCTGTCGCGGCTCACTCGGCTCATCTCGGACCTCGAAGCTCTAGGGGTGGAAAGAACCCCTATCCCCCTAATTAAATTTTTTTTAATTGATTGAAGAGAGAGGGAGATAGATAGAAATAACATTGCTGAGAAACATCATGGATCGGCTGCCTCCTGCATGCCCCCTAATGGGGATCGAGGCCCCAACCTGGGCATATGCCCTGACCGGGAATCGAACTGGTTCGTAGGCCCACAGGTTCACGCTCAACCACTGAGCCATGCCAGCCAGGCCCAAGTCTGAAGCTTTAGTCCATCAGTGGGATGGGTTACAATTTCTCTGGAGAATGTTGAGAGACAATGAGTCTTTTTTTAAAAAAAAAAAATATTTTTATTGATTTCAGAGAGGAAGGGAGAGGGAGAGAGATAAAAACATCATCAATGATGAGAGAGCATCATGGATCAGCTGCCACGCCTCACAATGGGATCAAGCCCGCAACCCGGGCATGTGCCCTTGACTGGAATCGAACCTGGGACCCTTCAGTCCGAAGGCTGACGCTCTATCCACTGAGTCAAACCGGCTCGGGCGCCAATGAGTCTTATGTCCCTGCTTCCAAAAGTCAAACTTCCCTTTGGCAGTTTCTGGAAAAGTTGACTCGCATAGAAATGTGGTTGGGACAATACTTCCTTTCATTCCAACGCAGTTTGATTTTCCTCTTTGTGTTTTGGGGGGCGAAGGGGGGGTGCAGAACCCTTCCGTGCCTTCTGGGAAGAGAGATTCTTTGCCCATACACCCCTTTGGCATGGCTAGGAGACCTTAACCAGCTTAGGAGGTTTGTGGTTGGAGAATTGAGTGCATCTGTTTTTATTTTTTCTAAGCAGCTTGACAATACATGAACGTCTTTGAAAAGAATAAACTACAACAGAGTCTCCGATTGGACTATTTAGGTTGAATTTTGTAGAGTAGAAGGAAGTAAAGTGTTTATGTTCTATACGCTAACCTTGTAGCTGAGTCTATAGTCATCAGTGGGGTGTGTGCGGCTGGCATGTGGCTGGCATTGTTCTAGAGGCGGGGACACACAAGCACATGGAGAGAGATGGACAGATGTGATTGACAAGCAGAAGGGCTGTAAGAGTCATGTGAGCACGTGCCCTGTTACTGATGTCCTACAAGTACGTACAGTCAAAAAAGATTTAGCCCGGCCAGCATGGCTCGGTGGTTGAGCATCAACCTATGAAACAGGAGGTCACAGTTCGATTCCGAGTCAGGGCACATGTCGGGGTTGTGGGCTTGATCCCCAGTTGGGGGCGTGCAGGAGGCAGCCGATCTATGATTCTCTCTCATCATTGATGTTTCTATCTCTATCTCCCTTCCTCTCTGAAACCAATAAAAATATTTTAAAATTTTTAAAAATTCATTCATTTTATAGAAGGGACACATACCTCAGTTGCAGGCTCAATCCCCAGCCGGGTTGGAGACAATCAATTGGTGTGTCTCTTTAACATCAATGTTTCTCTCTCTCTCCCCCTCCTCCCTTCCATTCTCTCCAAAAAAAACAACAAACAAACAAAAAAAAACAATGGAAAAATACCCTCAGGTGAGGATTAAAAAAAAAACACAAAACTTGCATATGTAATAAAATAAAAAAAACTACGTGGAACAAATGCACCACTTAAAACCATCCTTGCGATGACTGCCCCTTTAACCTGGACGGTTTTCATCTCTCTGTGTCCTGGACTATTGGTCCCGCCAATTGGACCCAGCACAGCTCCGGGCCTTGATCTAAACACCCTCTGATCTTTCTAGAGTGCGATTGACCGCCTGGAGGATGAGAAGGCTGCCCTCACCTTGGCCATGGCCGACCACCTGCGGGACTATCAGGAGCTGGTGCAGGTGAAGACCAGCCTCAGCCTGGAGGTGGCAACCTATAGGTAAGGATGGGCTCCAGGCAGCTCCAGGCTGTGGTCCTGGTAATGGAGGAGAGGCTGTTGTCTTGGCAACGGTGGAGGGGCTGTTTTCCTGGCAACTGAGGAGGGGCCGATGTCCTGGAAAGGGAGGAGAGGCCGTTGTCCTGGCAACTGAGGAGGGGCCGTTGTCCTGGCAACGTAGGAGGGGTTGTTTCCCAGCCATCCCCATGGCATTCCAGGCCCAGCTCTCAGGCTCTCCTGAGTCATGCGTCCATCTCTGGCCAGGGGACAAAGGGCCTCATGAGTCACATGGACGGAGGCTGGGGGGGGAGGTGCCCCAAACCTGGCACCACTCTAGAGCCGATGCCGGGCCGGCCCGGAAACCCACCTCTGAGCCGGTGTTAGGTAACACCGGATGCCAGGCCGGTCTCTTCCCGGCAGGGATCTTCCTGTTTCCTCTCTGGGTTGCAATCAGGAGACTCTGATTTTATGCTTTGTCTCTGGGATTGTTTTTCTTTTTTACATATATTTTTATTGATTTCAGAGAGGAAGGGAGAGGGGGAGAGAGAGATAGGAACATCCACGATGAGAGAGAATCATGGATCGGCTGCCTCCTGCACGCCTCCTACTGGGGATGGAGCCCGCAAGCCGGGCATGTGCCCTGACCGGGAATGGAACCGTGACCTCCTGGTTCCTAGGTCGACGCTCAACCACTGAGCCACGCCGGCCGGGCTTGTCCTGACTCCTTAATGAGGCCGGAGACGTGGTTTTCTCACACGCGTCCACTTATTTTCCTGCTGAGGAGGCTGCCGACCTGGGGAGCCACATGAAACGGTCACAAATAGGCGGTGAGTCAGGAGGTTGGCATCTCACAGTTACCAAGGCCTGGGGGCTGGTTTTCTCGCCTCAAAATAACCAGAGAAGCTCTACCCACTTCTTAAAGCCATACGAGTCTCTTCCTTAAAAACAGTCCTTTGAGCCCAGCTGGCGTGGCTCCGTGGTTGAGGGTCGACCTATGAACCAGGAGGTCACGGGTTCCATTCCTGGTCAGGGCACATGCCCGGGTTGCGGGCTCCATCCCCAGGAGGGGGCGTGCAGGAGGCAGCCGGTCCATGATTCTCATCATTGATGTTTCTCTCTCTCCCTCTCCCTCTCCCTTCCTCTCTCTGGAATCAACAAAAATATATATTTTTAAAAATGGTCCTTGGAGAGGTTTTGAGGAAATCGTGCGTTTCTGGCCTCTATGCTAGTGGGTTTGTGGATGCCTCTGCCATTCGTCTGGTGGAGGGCAGGGCTCGGTGTGTGTGTTGTGAAGGGTGTGTGTTAATTAAGGCACCGATTACATGGCCAGTGCCTGCCTGTCCGTGCCTGGGAAGGCCCCGGATGGGTGCCCAGGTGCAGAAGGTGACACCTGCCCGTGCCAGCCATCGAGAGGGGGACGCAGGTGTGGGTCTGAGCCCTTCCCCAGGAGGGGAACCCTGTAGGGGCGTTTTGGGAAAAGCTCCAGAAGATGGTGGATAGGCTTTCGTCAGCGTGGTCTGGAGGGGCTGTCTGCAGGATTTGTGTTCTTTCTTTTTTTAAAATATCTTTATTGATTTTAGAGAGGAAGGGAGAGAGAGAGAGAGAGAGAGAGAGAGAAACATCCATGATGAGAGAGAATCAGGGATCGGCTGC